ATTCTATGAGAGCGTGGTCCTTCCCCGGTCGAGCCGTCTCATTGGTGCTACAACCATAATATAGTGGCAGCATGGCTCTACCACGTAAAAACTAAGGTGAACTTATTTGTTACACAGTTGATCACAAAGTGTCATCATTATTGAAAAACTGCAATGTTATTATAAGTTGTTCTAGTGTATATGTATACACAAAACAATGCCCCAGTGCTATATTTATTTTAATTTTTTTTTTAATGTTTCTACTTCACGGAATATCCTTTAGTGTGGTTAATCAATATCTAATCTAAATAATATAAAATAGAACTAATATTTCAGAAATAAACATTAACCTCTAAACTTTTTGCTAAGTGGCACCACGCCGCCGCCCTGGTAGCAGAAAAGTCGTAGATACCCTCATTCGCAGTCTCATGAGCCACAGTATTCACTTATCATTGGGATTGTGTGCTCGTTTATCACCTTTACGTGTTTAAACCCTAAAAAAGCAAAAATATAACTGCCACTGTTGTTTTTTCTTTTTCATAATACTACAAAAGAACAAACTGTGAGCTGATGGTTAATGCGATATAAAAGAAACGAACCTCGGCTTCGATTCTTTCATAAAGTACTTATTCTATATGTTCCTAGTGCATATGAGGTTTGATTTTTAAAATTAGAAACCCAACAAAATGAACGCCATATTTACAAATGCCCCATTCACAATGCTATTAATTATTACAGTTAACAACATAACGCATTCGATGCTTAGCTCTCAAGCCAATGAGTCTACAAAGGTAGCTTATAATAGAGTAAAAATACCCTGTCCCATACGAAAGGGCCACGTAAATACAGAAATGACATTACTAAAAAAATGCAAACACCGTATTGTTGTAGGGCGGCCCCTCACTAGATGGGAGTGACGAGCTGGCTACATATGCAGGAAGTCGATGGATGTAGGTGACTCATGACCGTGCCACATTGGGCCTCATGAGCTGTAGATGATTATGATGATCGTTAATTAAAATACTACAATTCGCTTAAAATCAGCAAATTTTCAAAATCAGGCAACACCGTCATAGGCGGATGGCCGCCCCCGCCGCAAGTATTGCCAAGTAATTTTCCCAATTTAATTACATTTTATATTATTATTCCGGGATTAATTTTTTATTTATTAAATAAAATGGATTACATAAATAGAATCATATCATGATACCCCAAAAGCACCATCACGGATCGGACAGGGTTTACAAGTTCTTTTATAGAGTTCTATATATTGTTATAGAATCAGCACTGTCGTGATCCAGATCCAGATATTACTTGTGTCCCAGCTTATTAACAGTTTTATAACATTAACTAATGTAAATAGAACGCTAAAACAGTTTTTAGAACAGGTCTGCAATAAGCATTTTAGTCATGGACTGAAGACTTGGGGACTTTTTTTGTATATATTTTCAATTCATTCGTTAGGACGTTTTAATAATAATGCCTGTCATCCAAATGTGCAAATAATGTAGCGTGATAGAATAGATATCATAGACAGACAGTATTGAAAAATTTGTAATATACTCAGTGCTGTCGGGTTGTACGCTCGTATCTCTTTTTTGCATAGTAACTTAACAGTCGTGGCTTCAATATATGTGTAAAAATATTTGCACATGTGAATGACCCGCATTAAGCACAATAAGCAATTATTTATACAACTATAAAAAAAAAACAATAGTTTTTAAATAGAGTTCCACAAGAACATTTTCTAGGTACAATACTATTCACATGGTATACAACAGTAATTTGGGAATGCTTTTTTCGTACATAGATAATCAAGAGTTCACCAAGTAAAAATAAATTACACAAATTCAAGTCTCATCAATAATCACAAGCAAAACTACCCGACAAAATCTATTGAAGATATTCATGAAAATATCCCATGGGTAAATAGTGCTTATATATTTAAATAAAAATAGATTTAAATCTAAAAATAAATACTATCCCATCTCGTAAACGCAACAGATCACTACACAACCAAAATTTCACTGAGTAAATTAAAAATAAAACAAAACTGAATCCCTTGCGTTCAAAACTAAATATATAACTACTACATAAATTAAGTTCTATTTTCACTATAATAGATATAAACATTGACTGCTCATATTACGAATATACCATCAGGTAGCGACTTGAGAGATTCTATCACCTCATACTGTAAGGCAAGGAAGATCTCGTAGCTGCCGACAGATGGCTGTATAGCCATTTCTTATAAACTAAATGTTAATACCTTCACCTACGACATAGCGTTAAAGTGCGTCTGGGACTGCGATCGATTCAAGGCAGATAAAAAGAAGAACATTGAAAAGGAAATGAATCTCACTTCAGTACCTTCCACATTTCGCATAAAACTCCTTTCAACAACAATCATCTTTATTATATTTTATAGATGATTTTTGAATAAACATTATGCCAGACACTTCTTAATTATTTACTGCTATGTTTTTTTATCTAATAATCTCGATTAGATATATATTTATAACTGATTTTTCAAGCTTTCAAATTTGGCACAAATTCAAGACACTTGTGTAGTTGTCTGGCTCGAGGGACCAGGCTCTAAGATAATATCAAACTTAAGCAATAAAGTGTTGCTTTATTACTTATAAGTAAGTGACAATGTCGGCTAGACCTAATGATTGTTGTGATAACGCGTTTAAATTTCATGTTTCATTTAATCTTAATTTATAGTGGATGGTCTTTATGATGATGTTGTTTTGAACACAGTTCTTAGCTACTTTTGCTATGTTGATACACAAAGTTTTAGTAACTAGCTATTCCGTATCAACTTAAGTAATAAAGAGTTCAAACTAATTAAATATTAGAATGTTTTACATAGCCTTATTACGCTAAAATATCAATTTTAAAAAATTTTTTTTTATGATTCTTATATCATGAAGTATTTTGGACTGCAATTGATTAAGTATCAACTGTGATAGAAGCACATAACTTATTTTAGTATTTTTTCCAAATCTGACGTTACAAGAGAAAATACGATTATTTTTATAATTTTTATTAAGATATGTGATCTCAACAATCGAAAACAGTGAACAAATAACAGACTTGAAATGAGAGAATACATACCCCATATCATCCCGCGGATGTCGTAAGAGGCGACGGAGGAAAATAAAAACAAGATATGCGCAGCAGCATCTTTTTGATAACAACTTAAAAATCATAAAAAACTTCACCTGCCAAGCGTGGAAACTATTTCAAAATTCTATAAGACAATCTGTCGGGGAAGCCAATGTTCAACAGTGAACTTTTAGCAGGCAGCGGTAAGCAGGTGACTTTTGAATTTTTGCATACCGAGTCGTGAAAGCTCAGGGCCTTAACACCTTTAAATTTCATAGTACAAAGTAGCAAGCAAATCACGTTCGACGATGCATGTGGTGGAGCATCTGCAAAATTATTAAATACATTTTTGACATGAATGGGTCTTTTAATTTGCTTCCATAGTGAGAATCTATATCTATAGTCTACATACAAAATTTTATTACACCTACATAGTTGAAGGATCAGAGTTCGTAATGTTAAGTGAGAACCCGGGGAGGGGAATGGAGGGGGGGGGGGAGGACCGCACCCGTTTAATGTCGTTTCGTTACCTACACGTATTAACGTACAACACACGGCCGTATCTACGACACAGTTTTTTAGTTTTACTAAGGTAATAGGTGGTAGGAAGAGTTTTGCACAAGAAAAAAATATGACAAACTATCGTCAGTTAAGAGGTTGTCAAGAGGTTTTTTTCTTGCTCAATTCAAACATAAAATAACGTAAATCTTAGTTCGCATGTCAGTTAAATCTAATCGTTATAGTTAGAAAACGTATTTTATTGTGGTAGTCTCAGGTATAAATTGTCAAATATCCATTTAAAAATATTTTAAACCATAGTTTAAGCCCGAGACATGAATAAAACACGTTGTTATTAAGAATAAGTGTCTATTGAACAGTGACTAGCAATCTAATTATGTAACTCTGGTGGGAATCATTTGCCGGTAGTGATCACACTGCATTGCAGAAGAGGACCGTAAGACATGACTTGAAACCTGAAGAGTCTCTAAGGCAAAAATTTAAGGTAATTAATATATTAACTTTGGCCTCTCAATACATTTACGAAAATATAATGTATGTACACAAAAATAAAGAGTAACCAGTTACTCGACTCAAAAGAGTCAGTAATGCATAGGAGCGATGTATACGATTTTACAATAAAAGCCCAGAACTTAAATGACTGTAAACTGTTCTTTTTTTCTCCGAAAAAAACCTACTAGGTTTCTTACTGGTTATTCCCAGGACAGCGATATTTTCCTACCCAGTGGTAAATTAAACATAAGAGTGACTTTCAATAAGTATTATTTATAATCTATATAGAATATTTTTAATCTAAAACGAGATATATATATATATATATATATATATATATATATATATATATATATATATATATATATATAATATTGGCTTCTAATAGATACTAATACATTTTACATGATACAACAGAACCAAACGTCTAAAGTCAAATTTAAGCCAAGCACTATTTCCATCAGAGTTACACAATCGCAGTGCAGTTTCAAATTTAGCATTTAAGAGTATCAGTGGAAAATTTTATCGGTCAAAAATTTAAGCTAACTCCTAATTCTAAAACTACATTCTTTAGAACGAAGCATTTGAAATCGGAGCTACAATACTATAAACAGAATAACATGGAAGCATTTATATTAATTTGCCCTTTGGACTTAAGAATGCACCATAATCATTTCACAGTAATAATCTTTTCAATTCAGTAGTGTCAAAATGTTCCTTAAATATTTCTTACACGCATATATTTACAACATCGACAAAATTTCTAATATTATTCTTTCTCCCCTCCTAAACTCGTCAAATTATGACAAATCTACTATTTCCATCTTCATAAAAGGAAATATCTATCTACCCTCAAAATGAAGGCTTAAATTGTCCGTTTTTTCATAATAAAAATAAATCTAGTCCGGCAACCAGTTCTCCGCTCTCCACAGAAGGCAATACACTCCGGTGTGGGTCGCGTTGTAGTTCGACTGAAAGTAAAAATATGTTATTTATTTATTTACACTAATAATAAGTTAGTTCCATGATCGTTGTAAAAGTCCACTATAATAACTTAAATTGAAAATTTAAAAAACCCCCGAAACAAAAAGAGCCAATATAGAGCCAAAGAGAAAATGTTTTCTTGAATTATAGCTAAGAACTGTCGATCAAGCCACCTTTCAACCAAAATAAACTAAATCTAAATCGGTTCATCCGTTTGGGAACTTCGATATCACAGACAGACACACAGATACACACGTTAAACATATAACACCCGCTTTTTTCATCGGGGCTTAATAAATACCAATAATATAATTTAAAATTAAAAAAAAATTGTACAACTGACTTCAATATAAATTATTAAGAATAACTCAAAAACTATTGGTCAAACCTTGATTAAATTTATAAGGGACCTTATGAGAAGCATCAGCTTTCAAATAAAAAAAGAATCATCGAAATCAGTTTACCCAGAAAAAAGTTATGAGGTTTAAAAGAAAAAAAAACATATAGTCGAATTGGGTCCTGTCTGCTTTTTGAAGTCGGTAGAAAATATTGACTCAATACAAATATTAAGCTTAAATTGAATGACAAGTTTTGACTTCGAATTTGAGAGAAGGTCTACGCTCAGAAATAGGACGAATAAAGGCTGTAATGTTTTTAATTTGAATATGCAGCAATATTAGAGTACATACCTGCCCGGGAGCATATCTCTGTAACAGCGGACGGTAGCCTCCACCGAGGGTTGCCAGCATGTAGTTCCCGTTGGGTTCTAGTGCCGGCAGTGGTATCATGGCGCGTACCTGCACGTAGTAATTAAATTAATATAAATGTCTTTATTTTGCGATGTATTCAATTTTCCTGTTTAACAAATAGTTCAAATAAAGAAACATTGTAATAATAAGTACGATTGTATTGATATAGTAGATAAGTTATGTTTTAAAGTACCAGTCAGATCATACACTCTAGCATGCCGTACGTATAAACTATTTGCTACACCTAAGGTTTGAACGAATGCTGGGAAACTTTCACCATTGACTCGAATGACTGAAGCTTATAACAGCTACTTCTCTACCCTCGATATATTTGCAACGAATGTTATTTCATTTATAAAATCCATTTTCTTTAATCTGTTGCGTGAATTCAACACCACGCTATTTGATTGAATTAAATCCATAGCTAGCTTACTTAAAAGAAATACTAACTTTAGCAAAAACACGCAAATTTTTTATTTAATAAATTGTGGTTAACGGTGTTGGTTTCACAATGATTCCATTACGATGTGTATTTATATTATTTGTAAAATTCTTATTGTGAAACTGTTTCTTGACCTAAATAAATGAAAAAAAAAAATTATTCGAACGTCATGTTTATAATCCACTACATGATACATGATATAGCCCTGTAATGGCAGTGTAAGTGAATCTAATGTGACACAGCAGATTCTCTCTCATAAAACGACATAAGGACATGAAACAACAGATGGGCAGCAGCATCTTCCTTATAACTTATATTGATAATAATAATAATAAACTAAAATACGGTTCCCAACCTGCCTGCCAAGTGTGGCAACTATGGTAAAGATAGCCTCAATGAATGTATGAAAACATGCTGCAATAATAGTTTTATAGGGCGTTAAAGAGTGCATTTCCTGTTGTACAGAATGCGTGGCCGCCGCAACAGTATTCTAAACATGTTTGTCGAACGATGTGATAGGCATACCTAAGTCACAGGGACGGTGTATTAAAAACATACATATATTTAAGGAACTAAGATTAGTTAATGGCTATTAACTTAAAATTATTGCTTGTAACTTGCATCACTTCTAACTAAGTCTGAAATAAAAGTATTATTATAAGTGTACACGCTAACACAGTCAATAGCATTACGGGTGTGAGGGTAGCGATTGTGCCTTACAAGCTCCTAGCGTGCCCTATATTTCAATTAATGCACTCCTGCAGGACCGTCGAAGTCTTATGTGAAAAATTCGTATGAAAATGTTATCATTCAGTATAATGTAAAACGCGAGCCATGGTTCTTCGAGCTGACCCATTGTTGTGTGACAGTTTAAACAAAATAGTTGAGAAATAGTGAGTGACCCACCTCCTCCTCATAGGGCCGGAAGACAGTGAGGGGTCGGAGCGAAGCAGCGTCAGCGACGATGATGCAGCCCCACGCTGTGCCCACATACACTTCCTCGCGAAGTGTGCACATCGCCGTTATCTGGTTGCATTCCCATATTTTTTTTAAAGAATATAGATGATAAACAGCTCATAGTCAGTCTACCTGATGATAAGTGGATACAGTGACCCATAGATACCTTTATCTATCCTCGGAATAAATATTTAGATGCGTTGTCACTGCAGTCTCTGATTATCTATCTACACTCGCAATACGAAACTTTAACAGCATTAGGCTGTTATTTTACGCTCATATTAAGTGAGAGTGTGGACACGGTTTTATGTTTTCCATGTATGTATGTATACTTTCATGCGTTATATATGTATGAAAGTATACATGTAATGTAATTTTATATTTCTCTGTTCTTCTTAGAATATTAGCAAAGTCAAAAGCTTTGCTAGTATTTAAAAAAAAGAGATACAACTGCAGCTTGGACCGATTATACCTATGAAAAATTGACAAAATCATTCAAATTTAAATTTTTTCATGAATAATATACGAAGGGTTGGGACAAATTCTGTATGACTTTCTTTTATTTTTTAAGTTCGTTAAAATAACCGTGTAGTGGCGGTGTAAGAATATCGTCCTGTGGGTGTCGTAAGAGGCAATAGAAAGGAACTCCATCAGTAGTTGACAGCAGCATCTTTCTGATTACAATTCAAATAATAAAATTCTACGGCTCCAATCACGCCTGCCAAGCGTGGCAATTGTGGCAAAATTCCCCCTATGAGACAATTTATGGGGGACGCTTATGTTCAGCAGTGGACTTTTTTATAGGCTGTAATGGATAAACCCTTAAACGGGTGAAGTTCATATCCAGTCGTGTACATATGCTGGTAGAAACAAGCTTGTAAGTTAGTTTATACTTACCATGCACCGGTCCTCAGCGAGCCTCTCATCGATGGCGATAGACTGCAGGCTTTCAGAGCACGGTACCAGCTTGCTGCAGTCCAGCTTGGCTGATAACTGCTTCGTGGTTACGCTGTACTGGTACACGAACACGCCTGGATAAAACACAGATCTTATAGCCCCCTCCTTCTCCTTCCCAACAAGTTTATCAAAAATGAATATTAAATTCATTCTAAGGTCTACTCTACGAGAGTCAAGAGGGATTGACTATAGACGTCCAATACTTCGGTACTTGACTTTAGCTTGAAACTTTTACACTGTTTTTAGATGTCAAATATGTCAATTTGATTTAATATTATGAAGTAGACGTCCGGTATGGTATTGATTTTAATTGTTTTCAGTTTAGGAGGTTTGTCAGGGTTAACCTTTTGCACTGTTTTGGATTTCAGAAATGCGTTTTGATTTAATTACGGTGGAAATAAAATTTCACTTAAAATTGCATATAACAAAACGCAAATATGTCATTGTAGAATTGGATTTGGGTAAATAGTCACGCTTGATAGGCAGATCAATGGTTGCAATACCATCATCATCTCACTCATACCTTAGAGGCTCCTAATTGTTACTGGTGTGGATATTTTACGTCTCGCTCAAACGAGATAGTGTACCGCAAGTTCGGAAAAGAAAAGAACGACACGTCACCAATGTGTATATTAAGTTACAGCCTATATACGCCCCACAGCTGGGCACGCCTATGAATTTGAAACGATAAGTTAATTGCAATTTTAAATGTTGATTTGCCACGTGCTCGGCGGTGAAGGAAAACATTGTGAGGAAATCTGGATGTCTAAGAAAAAAGAAAAAAAATATTTCGAAGACTTGTGAAGTTCGCCAACACGCATTGGGACAGCACGGCGGACATATCTTTGCCCTAAAATCCTCCCAGGAATGTGTATATTTACATGATACATAATTTCGAGCCACATTCGAACCTTCAAAAACTATTAGACCTACCCACTTGTAACTTGCCAAAGACCTAAATGTGAAAAGACCAGGTTATCTGACTCACTCATCTAAAATCTAGGTCACTTATAGGTTACCAAGAAACTTGGAATTTGTCATACAAAGTTCAATTTTGTTACAAACGACGTTCGGGATTGTCGGCTTTGCAGATAAATAGTTGAGATCTGAACAGACACCAAGCTCTATAGCAGTTATAGGGTGTATAAGATTTAATAATATTGTCAGAATTGCAATAGAGATTGGCAGCAGTTCAGATCTCAACTCTTTAATCGGCTTAGCCGACAACCCTGAACATCATTTGAACTTAATCTTTGTACGACAAATTCCAAGTTTCCTAAATAACCTAGAATTGATCTTTGTTTTCGATGGGCGAGACAGTCAATTATAAAACGGTTCTTTTCAGACCTTAATAACTCAAGCAAAATTGTAGGTTGTTATGATAATCTTATAAATACTTATACTATATATAAACTTGTACCGGTCTACTGAAAAAAAATGTCATTATGAAATAAGTAGCGCCCTTGTACAAACTTCTTCATGATGTATGCTCTCCGTTGTTTGTGTACATAAATTATTAAATAAATACTTGACCACAAAATCTAAACCACCACATTCTTATTACAAAAGATTCTGCAGCAGTTTCCTGATGGGCAGCACTGACCTGGTCTGCAGGCGGCCAGTACTGCGGTGCCCGCGGAAGCCAGCAGTGCCACCTTGCCGGGAGCGGTCAATGTGTCCGCAGCACTCACACCATCGCCCCCCACCAGGTACGCACTCAGTCCGTCGCCACCAGCCCACACCTCCACTCTGCGATACCACACACAGGCTTTACATATCTGCCATGATTTGACGTGAATACGTCTTTAAATTTGCTTCCATAGTGAGAGGTAATTTAGAAAACTGGTTAAACAAAATCGGGGGACACAATCGATAGCTGAAGGATCAAAGAGTTCATTACTTTGAACTAAGAGTGTGAAATATCGCGCGCAGTGGAGGGAGGACCGCCGCCATTTTGAGGTCGTTTATTACATAATTTTAATTTAGTATAAATTTTGAAGTTCGAACAAACCAGCTATTTGGTCACCGGACGTGCACCTCTGCCGTTGTAGGAGGGAATAACATTAATGGGTATGCTTGGCAGTCAGATTGACCTGTCGCAAATCCAGAAATTAACGTTTGGCTTAAAAAAAGATAATTTTTCGGAAGCCATGAAATCTTACTGGCATATGACATAGTCACTTTTCGGCACACGCGGATCGAAATGGATAGATTGGTTTCTTACTACACCACGATATATGCGCTCTGGTTGATAATATGCATGTGGTAGAGCCATGTTGCAGTTAGTTATATTAAGGTTGCAGCACGATTGGGTCGGCTCGAAGGACCAACCTCTATCAGAATACCAGCGTGAAATGCAGCATAAAGCTGCTGTGTTTTATATGGAAATTGTAGAAAACCGGAGACTCTTTTTACTTTTTTTAAGATTTTGAGATTTGGATGAGATTTTTAGAATTTAAAAGTTACAAATAAAATTATTATTTAGCTATAAAAAATGACGTCATTACATTATATTACCGTACATTTTATATAGAAATATTTTGACAAGTCTTAAAAAGTATTTTAATTAAATCTCACCCATCAGACATAGGCACAGCTGCAAGACAGCAGAGCTCTGTTGCCGTACCCAGTTCCGTTAGAACAAAGCTACCCTCAGCTTCCGGTTTGTGTGATGTCACCAAGAATAATCTGTACACAGAAAGGGAAAACATATGAAAATTTGTATGACTACTAATTAATTGTTTCCGGTGTATGTATAGGTGCAATTTATTAAGAAGTGTGCAAGTTGCATATGCGTGTGTGCCTTTAATGTGAACGTGTTTTTTTTTTCTAAATTGTGTGGTGAAACAGATTTTTTAAAAAGAATAACGAGAAATGTTAGCAACGTCCGTGTTGTGTGTACTTGGTTTTGCGTATTGTGTACGTTTAAAAAAACGAGCAGTATATGGAAGTACGCGTGTTGCGTATGCGTGTGCGTAATTTAGACGTGAGTACGTGTTTTTCTTTATATAAAGAAAATTGCGTGTACTTGTTTTTATTTTTGCGTTCATATTTTTTAAAACCAAGAAAAAAGAAAAATCAGAACGTGTGGGTGTTGCATACGCGTTTGCGTATTGCGTAAGCTCGTTTTTGCGTGTGAGCACGTGTACGGCGAGCACAACGCAGCGGTGCTCGGAAAGCGGCAGTAATGCGCGCAGGCGTGCTGGTACACGTGCGTGTGTATGTGCGTATGTATGTGCGTGTGTACGTGCATTCGCACGTGCGTATGTAAGTTCATTCGCACGTGCGTGTGTAGGTACGATCGTAGGTGCGTACGATATGCGTGTGTGTGTGTGTGTGTGTGTGTGTGTGTGTGTGTGTGTGTGTGTGTGTGTGTGTGTTTTTAGAGTGCATGTGCGTGTGTATATACGCGTGTATGTGCGTGTGTGCGTGCTTGTGTACGTGTGTATAGGTGCGTTCATACATGTGTGTGTGTATGTGTATGTGTATACATGCGTGCGTAGGTGCGTTCGTACGTGCGTGTGTGTGTGTAGATGCGTTAGTACGTCCATAAGTACGTGTGTAGGTGCGTATGCACATGTGTGCGGCGCACCTGCCGGCGTGTGCTGCGAGCGCCACGCGGCGATGCGCGGGCAGCGGCAGCAGCGCGCGTATGCCGCACACGCCGCCACCGACCGCCTCTGCCACTCGTGCTCGCCACAGCATCTCGCACGTCGACACACTGCATACCAATTGAAAATCCACTCGATAGTATTTTTATTAGCTGCCGCCCAAAGACGCCTGCAGTCAACATCAAACAAAGAAGGCTACACATGCATCGTCACCTCTGAGGAATAAAATAGAAAACCTCACAGCCTGTTAATCCAACAATGCCTAGATCTCTAAATTCTTCTGACCGGAACACAGTAGTGCACACACTGCTCTTTGGCAGCAGAAACAGGTAGAAGGATGGTTATCTATCATAAGGAAGGTAATGTCGTGTGGTGTTCCACAAGGTTCGGACTAGGACTGCTTCTGTAGAACATTGGTGACGACTGGGTGTTGCGGGGGTATTCTACTAGCGGGCGTGAACATGATATGTTATGCAGATGTTATGACAACTATTAGGAACCCCGGTTGTGGAACACCACGCGACATTTCCCTACTTAACATTCTACCTTCCCGTCCAGTGTACGAGGTGTATATTTCAGAGAAGTAGTCCTCTACGGTTCAACGGAGGTAGAGAGGCACTTTATGGTAATTCAATATCTTACTAATGCAAGCCCAGGGCAGAGTTAAAAGCGTTGGCGATATTGTGACGCATCATAATCATTATTAATAAATAATAATTAAATTCATTATAAAGACATTTAAAAATGTCTTAGAAATTATATTTTAAACAATTCTGTAGCTGTTTACAAAAGCTGAAAGATAGCTGTTTGGGTGTGAAATTGGGTGACATTAAAGTAAATTGTCTGCTGTATGCTGATGATGCAGTGCTTATTGCACCATCAGAGGCAGAACTGCAGGCATTAGTCACGTATATGAAAGAGGAATGTGAAATTAAAGGTCTCCGTTTGAACGCTAATAAAACTAAGGTTCTGGTATTTGAAAGGGACGAAGAGAGAACGAAGTGTGAAATATGGGTAAATCAGGAATGTCTAGAACAAGTAAATGAAATTGTATACTTGGGGAGTGCTTTTAGCCGGGATGGAAGATGTGATTTAGATGTGGACAGGCGTGTCGCTGCCGGGAACAAAGTCAATGGTGCCCTGACTGCGTTAGTCAAAAGGCAAGGCGTAGTGAAGAGTGCACGCCTTGCAATACATAACGCAGTGTTGGTACCGACTTTGTTATATTGCAGCGAAACCTGGGTATGCCAGAAGAAGCATAAAAGCAAGTTGAATGCAGTGGAGATGCGATCTCTTCGTAAAATGTGCGGCGTTACCATGGCCGACCGAAAGCGAAACGAAGAGATTCGCAATATGGCAGGTTTGAAAGATGACCTTATCACAAAAATTGATAAGGGCGTGCTTCGGTGGTTTGGGCACGTTGAGCGAATGAGTGAAGACCGAATGGTGAAGAAAATATATAGCGCGAAAGTTAATATTAAAAGGTGTCGAGGTAGACCGAGACTAACTTTCGAAGACCATGTGAGCAAATTGCTTGAAGAGGGTAGGGTCAAGAGTACTCGGATACCTAGACGTGCATGTATGAAGAAGATAATGAATCTGAAAGAAGCGAAAGAGGTATGTAAGGACCGTGACACTTGGCGATCTGTTCTCTCTGGCTACCCCGTCAGGGATTGTGCGTGAAGATAAGTAAGTAAAATGCAAATAAGAAGCATAAAGTTCAAATATATTCATTTGGAATATTGAATATTATAGTATTAGTAAACGCATAAATTGTCTCTAAAAATCTCTAAATTTATTAAAAACCTGCTATATTCAAAATGTATTAAATCATATAAATACAAGTCGATTATATTGCAATAATAAAGATAAATAACATTTGTAATATAATAGAAAAAATGGATCAAAAGTTGATGAACGTGTTCTTATAATGTTCCCTTATATGGGGGTGTTGCCGGAGACGCATACCCAAGGGTGTACATATATATGGGGTGGTCGGATGACCGACTGCTAGTACTAAGGTTGCACAATGACTAGTCCTATATTAGGGACTTATCATAGTAAGGTCTAACGAACCAAAGCATTAATATAGGAGGTCTCTATGATGCATAAGCATTATGATAGCAGAGTTATGACTTGAAGTCCCATATGAATAAGACATACAATAGTATGGTCTATGAAATAAAGCAAATATGTGGAAGGTCTCAAATATGTAAAATCATTATATTGAAAGAAATGGGACTTGAAAAGGATTATTATAGTGGTGTGTAGGTTGCTTCGCAGCCTCCGAGACCAAGATAAACTTGGACTCGCTAACCGATGTGTCCTAGACATATCATCTTAGTGTCGGTGGTAAGCGGGTTTGTTGTAGCAATACGACTTGCCCGTGGACATCGCACATCCCTACCGTTTGTGGGCGACGTTTTAGCGCAAAGCGTTATGATACGTCGGCTATCTTTCGGATTAAGGTGAGTGTGTTTGGTAGTAGTTTTAAGTGCAGCAAGCATACTCAACTTCATGTCTTAGTGCAATAGCGCTAGATACGTGGAGCCTTAGCTACTGACGTCTTAGTGCCGTGCTACTATGATACGTTGGTGGTATTTTTAGTTAACAACATATCAATTTTGTTACCAAAGTCGATAGGGATCATGTGGGTGTGTTGTGAGGGGGCGCCCTCCGTATGATAGTTGCATTGATGCTTACTGCTACTTGCAGTATTGTGTCTTGTGATGGATCTGCGGGTGTGCTGCACCTGATAAATCACATCTTGTGGTTCTGGTCGATGAAGGTATGCGGGGGGTGATGTCTGCTGGGACTGTATGGGGGACATCGGTATCCAGTTCTGGTGCCTCTTATGGAGACGCCATTACTGGTTGAGACTACCATTCTGACCTCTTCAGAAATAATTGGCCACTACTTCAAGGTTTGGAGAATCTTAGTAAGCGGAGCCGTCCATGACCTACTTTTGCTCCTTCCTAACCATCTCAAATGGGCAACCCCATGGATCTCCATGGATTAAGAATCTAGGAGCTCCTCTCTTGAGCGGGTCTTGGCCTCTCAGCCTTTAAGTAGTTCCCTGTTGACCTCATACAGCTGAAATTCTATTGAACCATTCTGGATTGGGGTCGTTTTGGAGAGGTTTTGTTCCTCGTGGCCCAATACAGAGCCCTCGGTCTCTATTGGGATTACGGATTGTCCGACATCAATAAGCACCGAATGCACTTGGTATAACAATATACATCCCTCTATTTCTCTTTACAGCTAGAGGTACTAGAAACAAACTCGAGAAGTAAGGCTTTTTTTATGAATAAGGGTGACAAATACACAGTCCACTTGTTGGTAAGTGGATGCATATGGCCCATATAAACCTACATCTATCCTCAATTAAGAAATAAATGCATATGCACTGTCACCCTTTAGGACCAAGATAGAATGCCTCACATCCAGTAATAAGGGTCTCCGGTTCTCTACACTCACTATACGAAACACAACAACATTAAGCTGCTATTTTGTGCTGGCATTCTGTGAGAGTGTGGTCCTTCCCCGTCGAACTGACCCATTCATGCTACATCCATAATATAGTTGTAGCGTGGCTGTACCACATATAAGTGAGGTAAGAGATTTTCCGCTACCACCCATATCTCGTGTTGTTTCCCTATTCGCTACCTGGGGACGCGCCCGATGGTAGAACTGACAACTCCAAAATTTCTTCGAATTCTTAAGCAACCGAGTACTTCTACATCTATACAAATAAATAAAATTGAAGTGTCTGTTTGTAATGTCGAAATAACAGCTTTTTATTATATGCATATGAAAGCATATACCGTACTTATAACAAAAACACGATTTTTAAAATGTTTGTCTGTCTTTCTGTCTGTTTGTTCCGGCTAATCTTTGAAACGGCTGGACCGATTTTGGCAACACTTTCACTGACAGATGTTATAAGAAGTAACTTAGACTATTTTTATTTTAGAAAAAGAATTAGGGTAATAAATTACGCGCGGGCGAAGTCGCGGGAAACAGCTAGTACTGAATAAAATCAGTATTTGACACTCTAGTCAATTAAAGAACCGACCGAGCGACCCTTACGAATGTGTGCGTGCGTAGTAAAATATTAGGCGTTATATATTTTTATGAACGACAATATAAAATACCAAATAAAAGACCAGATAAAATAATGCCACACGTCCTGAATTTAAAAAGGACAGAATGTTTTAGATTTTTTTAACTAATTTTGTTTCACTATATTGCAAAATAACCCTGTATACGTTCTTCAACGTGAATATAACTTTGAAATGAAGTCCCAATTGGTTACTTTCTTGTTCCTTCCTAGGACAAATCTTAATCCCAGAAATTGTACAAAATTTCTCAATAAACAAGTTTAAATGTTTTTATAAGAAAAATTGTACAAAAAGGGTTATTATTATATCAAAGAATACATAAATGAAAATAATCTCCAGAAATGAGGTAATCGCCATCATTCTGGTTCTATTAAAATTCATTTAAAAACTGTACAAACTAACTTATTGTAAAATTAATATGTTTAAAAAAAACGCTGGGTTTCTTGTTGGTTTTTCTTAGGACAGAGGTATTTTCCGAATGAGTAGTAAATAAAAAAATTACTTTCAATAAGTATTATGTAATAATCTATATTGAATAAAAATATTTTATTCTATTCTATTCTTATTCCCGAACTAGTGTAAAAGTAAAAAAAAATCTTCTGATGTAAGAAACTATTCTCAAAAGTATTTAAATACAAGAACACTACTCGGTAACAAACTCTGCTTACTATTAGGACTCCAATTCCATGATAACACCAAAGTATGCAAACCAACAGCATCACTGCCCATCTCAATGTAACACAGGGCAGCCTCTCAGCAAAACGACCTTCCTTGCCTACACTAGTAGAATACCCCAACGGGCATAGTAACGATAATGGGATTCTTAGAATTACAGACTGATACCTCTTAGTCGCCTGTGCGATATTTTATACTGCAAAAACAAGTGGGAGATTACCATTCTACCTTCATTTGTTCGTATTTACTTTTAATCTTTTACACTCATTCCCAACAATATATAATACAATAACAATTATTTATAATCTATATTGAAAGAAAAACCTATATTCTGTTCCAACAGGGTGGACAAAGTTCATCAGAGGTTTGGTGTAGAAACGAATGAGGAACTTACGAATATACGGAGACCCTTCCAACGGAGTCACCCAGCCACATGGTGTTGCCGACGCGGCACATCGCCGTCACCAGCACTGCTGACTCCTTGTCTGCACACAAACGTATAATCAAATACCACTTGTCGAATGGTCTACAGAATTTAAAATCGCCAACATATTGTAATAATAATGTCCTCCAGACCGAATTTCTTTCGCGGCGGTCAGTCTCAACGGAAACTAGTCATCTGCACAGGACAAGACTGTAGTGCACTAGTGTGTGCACAAGCACAGGTGTACTTTCGATTCCCTCACTCTCTTTTACTTATTATGAGCCAATGCTTGACCACAATTCCACCTGGCGTTAATGGTGACGAAGCTCTAAATCGCATTGTATTGGCGTAACAAAAGAATATTCACTCTTGCCTTAAAGACGCCCAGATTGTATTCGGACGGAAAGACAGACGGCGGAAAATTAATCTATTCCTTTGTTATACGCCTTACGAAAGACGAAGCAAACCTTTTGTTTCTTATCTTATACATATTATTAACAATAGAAATACAACGAACCTGGTGACACCCTGAGCGAATGCTGGTGGAGGAAGGTGGTGGAGTTGGCCAGCAAGGTGTGCACTCGTTCAGGTTCCGCGCCTCCGAACCATACCTCCCAGCCTAAGCCACCGTCTTCTGCACAAAGGAACAGAAGAACATGATACAAAAGAAAAGCAGGAGATTACATAAGTAGTTATTCACAAGTCCACTGCTTTATATTGGCCTGCCGCAAGGAACTCCACACAGTCCTGAGTCACCTGCATCCATCGAATTTCTGCATGTGTTATCAGATCGTCACTCCATCTAGTGGGGAGCCGCCCTACACTTCGTTTAGTGGTACGAGGTTGCCACTCGAGCACCTTTATTCCCCCATCGGTTGCCAGAATTAGGACCATCGCACATCCAAAAATGAAGCAAGGGGAAATTATGGCAGGTCCTTCCAATGTTTTAACACGTGGATGAGCCACTTTGTAGCTGTATTACGGCCAATCAGAAAGGGACTACGCTGGCACGAAATATCAGCGTGAAATAGCAGCTTAATGCTGTTGTGTTTCATTCATTCTTGGTTCATTCTGAGTTATGTATGTGACAAGAACCGGAGGTACAGGTACAGGTAACGAGGCGAGGAGTCCTCAGAAGGTGACAACGCATTAACATTTTAATTCTTAATCAAGGATAATATGCTCCAGACAGAATTTTGGTCACGGCAGTCACAACGGGGACTAGCCATCTGTGCAGGGCAGGATTATGGTGCACGAGTATATATTCAAATATTTGATGTCAACGTAGCTGCTTCTGCTACCAGGTCGGCAGCAGAAGAACAGAGGTATTCCTACCTGATGGCAGCTGAACTTTAGCTGCGACAATAGCGGAGGTACAAGCTCTTGCAGACGCGGCTTTCGCGAAGGAAAGGAACACGGGGGCAGCCGCCACTGCTACGAAAGCAGCACCAGAAGAAGGGAGGAAAACTTACCCGATGGCAGCCGAACTTTAGCTGCGGCAATAGCGGAGGTGCAAGCTCTTGCAGACGCGGCGTCCGCGAGGGAAAGGAACTCGGGGGCAGCCGCCACTGCTACCAAGGCAGCAGCAGAGGGACGGAGCTCTGGTGCACCGCTCCAGCAGCGACGCATGGTCTCTACCATGCTGCACGGATACTGAAGGTCCTGTTTGATAGACACGTATATCTTATTAAATGCTTGGTACCTAGACAATTACTTGAATCTTCTTCTGCTTATTCGAGTATAATTACACGCTGAGGCATTCCTATAGTCTTTAGAGGTGACAAAGCCTCTGTAACCTTTTTTGTTTAAGTTTTAAGCATTGTAAAGTAAGAGCCAATATAGTCCTACTTCCGTACCCAGGACTTCCTTTAACCAAGCTCTTTTAGATCTTATAGAATAACAATGTGAAACAGCAGTTTAATGCTAGTAGAGAACCATAGAGCCTTAGACCCATTTTACTGTGCACGAGGCATTCTATTTAAATCCTCAGGGTTAGCAACGCATCTACAATGCTTCTGATAGATTTAGGTGACTATGTGCCACAGCATCCAAATAAGAACAGTTGTTCTGTGTGCTCTCTTTGCCACCACACAGCAACGAGGTTTTTCAAGCGTTTTTACAATGGGGGTTGTCACCAGATGTCGCTAGATGGTACTAAGATGAACGTGTTTGTCACGCAGATCGTAACATGGTATCATCATTTATGAAAAGCTGCGTTTTAAATTAAAGCTTTTCGATTTCTAGTGTGTGTGCTCTTTAAGTTTTACACATTTTTAATTCTTCTACTTTTAGAAATATCTGTAGTTTAGTTAATCCATTTCTAATGTAATTAATATAAAATGTAACTAACATTTCAGAAAGAAACATTAATCTTTACACTTATCAAACAAATTAATTTCTCCCGCCATGTAAACTGTCAAACATTCGACCTCATTCAAAGTGGCGCCACCTTTGTGGGTCGTGGATGCCAATGCCGTAATGTCATTAGCAGCCTGATTTTTAATAGAGAATAGGTGACACAGTTGTATATGAGCCAAATTATTCAATTACAACAGTACACACTTTTCTAACAATTTTACTTCCCTGCCATGAATTCTAATTTTTTTTGTGGTGCCGCCCTGGGGGGAGAAAAATTTGCGGTAGCCCTCATTAACGGTCTTTTTGCCAAGCGCGATTTCTCCCAATCAACTTTTGAATGTTAGTACCTTCCGTATTTCAAAAACATATCGGTCATAACTTCTCTATTTATGAACCCATTTTAATGTTGTTTTTTTTTAAAATAGTTTCTACTTTCGAAATTGCCTCATATAAATAAAAGGAAAAAAAGTTATTAAAATAAATTTAATGTTACTATTTAGACATTCTAGATGTTACCTCTGAACTGAACTCGGTCCACTTATAAAGGCAAAAATCAAACCTTGTGAAAAAAGTTAACCGTCTTCAAAAACTACAAAGTTTTTGAAGATGGTTAACTTGTTTTTAATTGTTTATAATTAATCATTTTCACATAACAGCTTCTAAAGTCGGGGTTTTCGATATGCTATGTCATCGACTTTAGAAGCTATTGTTTGGATTTTTTTTAAATTGTAAATATAAATTATTTTTTAAATCGACTACAAAAACTAAAATTTTGCTTCAAATATATATATATAATATTTAAAATATATATTTTAAAAATATTTTTTCCTGGTTTCCTTCAACACCTTATATATTAGTATATATATTATCTGTTCTTACCCTGGACGTCAACGCTGGCCTCGCACCTTCCAGTACGGCTTCTTTCACCGCCTCGTGACCCTCAAAGGGCTGCCGCAGAGTCATCACCTCGTACAGAAGCATGCCGAACGAGAAACAGTCCACCTGGATAAAGAAATAAACCACTCGTGGCAATAACCATTATTGTGTTCAGATTTGCTCAGTTTTACGTGGTAAGGCCACGTGTTGCAACGTATTGGTCGGCTCGGCCGGTGTAAGATGATGTTCACACAGAATACCTGTATAATACTGTTGTGGTTTGTATAGGGAGTGTAGAGAAAAAGTGGAGGTCCTATTTACTGGAATCGTGGCATTCCATCTTAGATCTCAGCTGTGACAACGCATCTTCATTTTTAATTCTTAATCGAAGATAACTGTAGATGTCTATGGGCAACAGCATCCACTTACCCTCAGGTGGACTGTCTGCTCGTTTGTTACTCTTAGTCAATAAAAACAAATATATAAATATAGGTCTGTCTATGGACCACGGCATAAACTTCGAATTCAAAATCAAATCATTTATTTGCAATCCAAGTATACATAGTTAGTCTTAATTTAAAGATGTGCTTGCAACTTAGACCTTTTACATAAATAAAATATAAAATATACATAAAAGCTAAAAAAATATATAACATACATAATAGTGTTATTTTTATCTAAATACTTCTCCACTGAGTTTTTTTTAAGGGATTTTGTTTTAAATATTTATTGAGTCTTCCTTGAAATTTGGTTAATTCAGATATGTTTTTTATTTCCTATGGTAATTTATTATAAACTTTTATTACCATTTAGGATTTTTACTCTTTCTATTAGTTGGACTGTGTGCACGTTTATGAGTCTTGCTTCAGTAAAAAAAAACTGTGCCTTGTCACCACTGAGGACTAAGATAATCTGCTTTTTGATTTTTACTGAGGGCAGAAGTAGGTCTCTGAGTCAGAATGTAATATACAGGGTATTTTTGGAACGCTCCCGAAAACTAAGACACAGACGACAGAACGAAATACACCTTTGATGATGGGTGGAATATAAAATCGATCCTGATGAATGAAAAATCATTTTTTCACAACGTTTTATTAACTTTATTCATTCTGTCATGTTAGTACAGCTAAATGAAACGATAATTTCATAAAAAAAAATCATGAAAATACTGCAACATAAAACTAGCAGTGGGATTACTGAATTCATATCACCTGATTAAAGGTCAATGTACGCGCGAACGCTGAAAAAAGAACGCTGGTCTTGAACCTGGGCACTGAGCGAAAGCGATTTATAAGTGAGTGGTAAGAAGGGGGCGCGACGGAGGAACAATCCGCTAGTATTACTGTGCCGCACGCTATTGGTTCTCGCGCTTTGTTCGATCCCAAAATATAGTCGCAGTAAGCTGTGTTACTTTGCGACTCGCGAGGATGGTTTTAAAAAGGAAGGAAAGAAAAATTATTTATATCTATTGTTTTATGACTGAACTAGTGAACGAAAAGGTAAATATGATAGGAGAAGGTGAACGGGGAAAATTGTGCAGTAAAGTTAAAAGTGTTGAGGAAGAATACCGAAAAAATTACCGTGTGATCGACCTGATGACGGAAGCTCAAGCGAAGATGAAAGTGATGATGAAGTAGCATCCAGTAACACCAACACACCATCAACATCTGGCTTTCATGTGACCCAAGACGACATAATGGACGGCGTGTCACCCTTAGCTTAAGTTTTTTTGTTACAAACTACTTTATATTTTACGATAGAATTAACAAATAATGCTCAAGTAAACATTATCCATTTTTAATTCCCACCTCTTCCAAAGTTCTAAGTAGCTAGTAAAACACTTATTATGATTCTATAATAAAACAATTAATTACTATAATATTATAAAACAATAGCCCAATACCATGTAGTACTTTAGAACGCGACTATACCCACTCTCCCTCCACTGTCGACCTGTATCTAGCTCGGTGCGAAACAATGCTGCCGTCATAAGAAAAAAGGGCACATCTAACAATTTTCGAATAAATGAATTAAATATACCATTCGACTCATGATAAGAAGACGCATCTACTAAATTTTTTTAATATTCAAAAATATCAATATTTTAGAAAATATCGTAAGAATTTTAGACGTAACTGTTAATCACAGATTACATTTTTTTAGTAGAAAATTGAACATAAAAGAAAAGACTTATTTAACCAGTTGCTACGTCATCTTTAACAATATTTGCATCGATTACTTAAATTTCGATTATTCTTGTCTTATTATTCTATATCTTATTATTAAGAGCTTATATCTTATTATTAAGATATTATTCTATATCTTATTATTAAGAGCTTATATCTTATTATTAAGAGCTGGTGTTTCACATGTGGTCCCATATAAATTTTATCGAGGTCAGACCAATAGTTTTTGAGTTATCCTTAATTATTTATATTGAAGTCGGTTGTACAAAATTTTTAATTTATAATTGTTATCGTAGTAAGTCTTCTATGATGTCCCCTTTAAAATCATTACTCAAGAGTTGCGGGTTGTTATTTTTTGTGTCTCACTACTAATGCTTTTCTAATATTTACTAATAAAAAAAGTAGTAAATTACTATTAGCGTCCTTTCAACTTCAAATGACCTTTCCAAAATATGTAAATGTTAAATGAATGGCAGTTTTTTTTTTATTTATTAGGTTGAAAAGACGCAAATGGTTATATGCGTCTTTCATTCGATGTTTTTGTGTTCCCAAGTGTATTTTTTAAGCTAAGATGAAAAGGAAAATTCGTTTTATTTAAATAAATAAACAAATTATCCAAAAAATAAGTTCGCCTTTAAAATCTTCATGTCTCTACGCATATTTCAATTTTCATATTGATACCTTTTAATATACTTTAGACACAGCAGGGTCTGAAAGAAAAATTCATCTATTTATTTTTTTATTTCCATTTTACGTTTTAGTTAGTTGCGTCCTTCTTTATTATGACGGTAGAACGCCTAACACGGCCGGCTGGTGTCGCAGTAGGTTTCGTGTTGAGTTAGTACACGCGTGCGCGAGCGACAGTTCAATCGTTTTGTTTATTAAATTGTTATTGTTATTACTTGTGATTACGTGTTGGTATTATTCTTGTTGTTACGTTTTTTGTTTTAATAAAGCCTAACGCGTACGTTTATAGTGCTCGTGAATACGGCAACATGTTAGGTATCCGAACCTAGGTACACGAAGTATCGCTAAATAAATTGTTAAGATGTCGGGATGGAACAAGTGTGTCATGCTGTGCAGTGCACAAAGAGTTGAAGCGTAACCGAATGCTCCCATACAAATTGCACAAAGTGCAAGCTTTAGTTCCCGGCGATCACAACCGCCGACGAGTTTTCTGCCGTTGGTTATTAGACCAGCAACAACGTGTGCCTGGTTCTATTGAGCACATTATCTGGACGGATGAGTCGGCATTTACCAGAAACGGCCTGTGGAACCGAAGAAATACACACGTGTATTCAGAGGTTAACCCGCACGCTGTTCGACACACCGGGCACCAAACCCGATGATCGGTTAACGTATGGGCAGGTTTATTTAAGGATCGCATACTGGGACCAGTGTTTCTGCCACATGACTGAACGGACAGCGATACCTAAACTTTATAAATGAACAGTTGGTTGACATTTTAGACGACCTATCGTTGGCTGAATATCGCCGCACATGGTTCCAGCATGATGGTGCACCTCCACATGTCGTGAGGTTCGTCCGTGAGCGCCTCACCGATTTATTTGATGATAGCTGGATTTGGCGGACTAGGACCACACGCTTGGCCACCTCGCTCACCAGATCTGACCCCGTTAGATTTCTTTCTGCGGGGTATGTGAAAGAAAGGGTTTTTAATCGTGAGTGTGATAGTGCTGACGAAACTACAAAAGGATCGTGGATGTTTTCGACAAACTACGTACGGACTGTATCGAAGACCACACGATGATGCCCCGCCTCCATGAGGAGACGCAACACCGAGCCCAAATCTGCCTTGAAATGAATGGAGCACAATTTGAGCCGCATCTCATAAGACCACGTAGGATTTAGAGCGGTAAGCTGTTTCATAACTATTTTTTTTAATTACTTAGTACTGAATTAATCTGAATAGGTACATAACTAGAGAATAATAAACATACCTACACGATGAATAAAAACGCATGACTCTAACCTTGATTACATTTCATTTAAGTATTTTTTCATTAGGGGGATATCGAACCAGTTATTTGGGTTATTTAACCTGTAAATTCGGATTAAAGTGGCTACGTGGAGACAAGTACAGTGGCAAAATAGTAGGTTAAGTAGATAAGTTAGGTATTTAGACAAGTGTTCGCGTTCGCGCGTACATTGACCTTTAATCAGGTGATATGAATTCAGTAATTCCACTGCTGGTTTTATGTTTCAGTATTTTCATGATTTTTTTTTTATGAAATTATCGTTTCATTTAGCTGTACTATCATGACAGAATGAATAAAGCTAATAAAACGTTGTGAAAAAATTATTTATCATTCATCATGATCGATTTTATATTCCACCCATCATCAAAGGTGTACTTCGTACTGTCGTCTGTCTTAGTTTTCGGCAGCGTTCCAAAAATACCCTGTATAATCACCATGAGTTAGAAGTGTATTCGACTGTCACTTTTGCCACAACATGTAAAGAAAACCCTGTCCTACCCGAAAGGGGCACACAAACACTACAATGACATTATCAAAAAAAATCACATTATTGATGAATATAAAAATGTATATGTTATATGGACATTTCTTACTAAGTATCAATTAGTAGTATTAATTTGTAACTAAGTTTTCAAGTTATCTAAATTTTATTTTATATAAGTACTAGCTGTTACCCACAACTTTGCCCGCGTGGAATTTATTACGGTTGGTTTTCGTAGGTTTTTATTATAAAGCAGGAAACCCTGTTTTTCTAAAATAATAGTAGCCTGTTACTCCTTATGACGTCACTTATCTACCAGTGAAAGTCCCGTCAAAATTGGTTCAGCCATTTCGGAGATTAGGGGGAACAAACAGAAAGACAATCAGACAGACAGACACAGACAAAAAAAATTATAATAGTTTTTTTGTTATAGGTACCGTATACATTTTCATATGCATTTAGTTAAAAGATGTTATTTTCACATTACAAACAGCCACTTCAATTTTATTTATAGATTCAACGAGGATCTCGCTCACGCACGCTCAATATATTTTGTTAAACTTAGTTTCTCCACAGAAATTTAAATTCTAGTAAGAAAAACAAAGAACATAAACTATACATGTTTTCTCTACAATTTTCAAAAAATAATAAAATAATAATACTTTGCTAAAATCTGGCAACACCGTCGTCGGCGACGGTATTATTAAACGTGTAGCGGTATTGTTACTCGTATAATTTTCCACATTTATTTTTGACGGGTTATTTATTTAATTTATTCTCTGATAAGGATTACAACACCTTTATGCACTTTCGCGGATCGGTCGATTTTTTAAATATATTTTATGAGAAAAAAATATCAAAATCTGACAGATCTGATTTAAGATTTACAATTGCCTCGTTCGCCATAGTTGCTATGCTTGGCGGGCGATTCGGCAATCTCAGTATTTTTTATTATTTTGAGTTGTATCAGGAAGATACTTGTTCATCTCTATACCATGCCATGCCATAACCATCTACTGTTTCATTTCCCCATGTCGCCTCTTACGACACCCACAGGATAATGAGGCAGAGCATTATCTAACGCCTCCACTACGCAGCAAAAACGGGTTTAAACTCACCTTTTCGTTGTACTCTTCCTCGCCGTTGTACCGCATGATCTCCGGCGCCATAAAACCTTCTGTCCCCCCGAAGCCCTTCGTTCCGGAAGGGGGAGCCATTCTGCTGATACCTGGGTAACGATTAGATCAATTTAATTGTTATTAGTTACCGTTATCATTACAGCGTATCAAAAGGCCACTGCTGAATATAGATCTCACACATAGATTGCCACATAGGGGGTATATTCGTCGTAGTTGCCACGTTTTGCAAGCGGGTTGAAAACCGCAGTTTTTATTATTTAGATAGTCAGTAGCAGTCCAGAGTCGGAAAGTTGCCACTGTTTCACCCTCGTGCTTTGGATGTAAAGCTGTTGGTCTTGCGCCTGATATCTCTCCGGTTGTGTCGGATCGTCCCAGCGGACTTGAAAGTGAGGGAATAAAGAGTGCACCTGTGCTTGCCTATACTCTCATACACTATAATACTGTCCTGCGCAGATGGCTAGTCTATGTTGAGGCTGACCGCCGAAATTCGGTTCGGAGTATAATAATTTTCCAGTAATTTCAAGCATCATTTCTGTAAACGCAGTAGCATTTACGTGGTAGAAGCGACCCCACAGGAAGTGCACCTAGTCGAGTTCCAACGGATCGACAAAAAATGAGATTGACTTCATTATGACGACCAAATGTCAACTGTTCAGTGATGTCTCAGTGATCGCGAAGGTGAAAACTGGTAGCGAACACCGAATGTCTAGAGTCACACTGAAAACTTTGGGGGAGGCCTATGTTCAGCAGTTGGATGGATGTTTATATAATGGTATATATTGTTACGACAGTCAGTTTCAAGTAGGATCCCTTTTACGCGAGATTATTCCCTAAACTTGGCGATCCAAAACCAGTCTTGATTCCTGATTAATAAGGATCTATGTAGCATGTATATCTAGTCAAAATATGTGGCGTAAAAATGGACAATATTTTAACTTATTTATACAAGCAAGACTCGAACTAAATAAAGGCTTCTACCTTTTGACACATTTTTGATCGCTATTGTTCTAGCATTTTCGCAATTGAAGGGGAATTTTTGAACAAACTTAAAATTGATCTAGAATATTCTATTCTCCTCTCATCGTGGATAAAAGCGTGCACTTTATTACCAATTATTTCGGGAACAGGACAGTGAACTATACTCCGGGAAATGACTCCAAGCAATCGACCTACAACATTTGCAAATATTAAGGACAAATTTCTCACCCTAATCAGTACCATTAACTCGCACGGAACAATATTATCTTAATTTGTCACAGGTGGTAAACTCAACTCAAAAGTTATGTGTCAAGTAGTTAAAGATGAGCTGAACGTTGTCATCTTCTCCGCGGAATCTACTAGGCATTGATTTCAAATACCTACCGTAATCTCCAAGCTTGACGTGTACAGGCACCGGGCCGGGTTCACGTTCGGCCGCTAATGCCTCGTGGGGTCGCGGCATCTCCCACACCAGCACGTTCTCTGACTGAAACCAAGGTTTCTATTTTATAGAAAATTTACTACGAAATTTTTATCAGAAATGATTACTGAGAGATTGAACTGCGAATTTTGTGATTACAAATGCTCCCTTTTCGAGGTTAAAAACAGTTTTTTTTTTATATTTTGTAAATTAGATATCGGCGTCTATATGTAAATGTGCATTTGACAGTGAATACTTAATATAGAAACTTAGAAATTTAACGATTAACACTCGTGTACTACAATCCTGTCCTGTGTAGATGGCTTGTCTCCTTTGAGCCGTGATTGAAGTTAGGTGTGGATGACATTATTATATTATCCCTATTTTGGAAGTGGATCATATCTGTTAATAACTGATGTTATGTGGTGGAAGAGCCACATTGCAGCTGCATTAATACTGCAGCACAAATGGTTCGACTCAATCGGGAAAGATTCACAGTTGCATAGAATACCAGCGTAATATAGCAGCTTAATTCTGTTATATTTCGTGTGGTTAGTGTAAAGGTAGTGCACGCAAGGTAGGTTAGAACCGCAGAATTTTGTTACAGAAAACGTGGCATTCCATGTTATAATCCAAGGTGACTCAACATTTTGATTCTTAATCGAGAATAGATCTATGTGTCTATGGGCCACGGGATGCATTTACCATCAGGTAGACTCTTTTCTCTATTTCTCTATTTGTTTTTTTTAAACGTTACCCCCACACTAGGATTTTCTCCTGTGTCGTGGAGTTTACAAACATAAATTGCACAAGGACAAACATCCAGACCCGGAACAATTATTTGTAGGGCATACAAATACTTGTTCCGTGCGGGATTCGAACCCGCGGCCCCCAGCGCAACAACTGATTGCTAAGCCACTGCGCCACGGACCCGTCTACGAAGACTGTATGATCGTTTGTCACACTTATTCTATTGCAAAAAGAGCAATCAATAGAACCACGTGCAAAACATTTTTAACAAATTACGGTAGAATTTGGACCACTAGTAAATACGAAAGCAAATAAAATCGTGTTTATGTGGGTAAGTATTAGTACCTTGAGGTCCCGGTAGACCACTCGATGTGCGTGCAGGTACTCCAGCGCACGTGCAAGTTGCAACGCGAGTGCACGCACGACTCGCGGTCCGATGCGAGCGCCGCAGCCGCGGTACGTACGTAGAGTCGCATCTAGCGCACCCTACCGGAAAAAATACTCAACTCAATCGATAAACAGAACAATATATAATAATGTGCTGTATTTTTAAAGTAACAGCGTATTTTTTATTTATTTAAATAACTTGATGAAGATAACACTTTAATGCTAAGCGTACATGGGCGAACCAAATGTATATGGCATTCTGTCAGTCAAGTGCCAGCAGTGTCGCAGGCGCACCAGCACGTGTGTGTGTGTGTGTGTGTGTGTGTGTGTGTGTGTGTGTGTGTGTGTGTATGTACGCCAGCAGCGGCGCAAGTAGCGCGTTACACACGGCGAGCAGCGGCAGTAAATGCGCGTGTCGCAACAGCACGTGTGTGTGTGTATGTGTGAGTGTGCACGCTCAACTGCGGCGCGAACGCCAGCAGCAGCGCAAGAGGCGCGTTGCACACGGCAAGCAACGGCAGCACATGCTCGTGTCGCAACAGCACGTGTTTGTGTATGTGTGAGTGTGCACGCTCACTTGCGGCGCGAGCGCCAGCAGCAGCGCAAGTGGCGCGTTGCACACGGCGAGCAGCGGCAGCACGTGCGCGTGTCGCAGGCGCGACAGCACGCCCAGCTCCTGCCGCAGCGCGCAGTACGCGCGACACGCGGCAGCCGCTGGCTCTCGTTCCCATCGCGACAAGGCCGCCTGCACGCAACAAATAACTCACTGTACTGGACCACACAAGTAAAGCAACAAACGGCAATGGTGATCTTGATAATTTGCCATCATGTGGACAGCGGTTTCAACATCATGCTTTGCGAGCCGCATGCACCGCAACCGACAACCTACTGTTCTTAGTTCTCTGAGTAAACGCTATGTGACGCGCTTAGCAACAAGCCATCCGACAGAAAAAACTTTGCTAGTTTCCAATAACGTGAACAGTGGTTATCAACCTGACGCTTTGCAAAATAAATCCTTTGACCTTGCCCCCATAATTTCTAACCTCCTCGCGGTGCTAGTACCCTGGGACGTGCTAATAATGTTGCAAAGCAATAATGGGTCCCCGGTTGCGTTCCGGACGGAGTTATCAGGACCTCTTATAAATGCTGATGATGACCAGCGTGGGGTTTTAACCGGTAGAAGTCCAGTATATCAATTTCGTTGCCCCCGCAGCGAAAGGTATCCATGAGTATTTTCCCACGATAAAAAAAGTTTCCAAGCATGTGGTTAATAAACCATCATCTGTGTAACTAAATCTCTCGACCTGCGATCTTAATAAAATTGCGAAATAAATCCTTCGTAAAGGCAACGCCCTTAATTGTCCAATGACCTTACAACAATTTTGGTTTACGGGCGCGGTTGCACATCTACAACATAAACAATCTAGACGGAAATGCCAAAACCTCCTCCATCGAGCTTCGTAATATCCCAATAACTCAACCAGAAAACCAGTCTTCGTTGTGTATACTTGTAAGAAATATTAGTGAAGTTTTAAATGTGCCCCTACAAGATAATAAGATACGTAACACCTATCGTATTAAATCGCAATTAAAATCGAACACTCCAAGTCCTATCGTAATCGATTTTACCACTACTCTAATGAAAGATAATTATATTAGATCTGTCAGTGCATTTAACAAAGAGAAAAGGATAAAAAATCTCATCTTAATATAGGTGGACCACCAAAAGCAATATATATCCGATTGGCTAACAACTAAAACACGGCGACTTCACTAAATTGCCAGCCAATATACAAAGAAGCATAAGTATAGTAACTGCTGGACTGCTCATGGGAAAGTATTTGTGAGACAAAGGGATGGTATGCCGGCTATTAGAATCGACAGTGAACAAGATTTTTGTAAACTAAGTTCTATTTGACTATTAATTTTATTTATAGCTTTTTTTGCTAACACCTTTTGTAATAAGATATTTCCTTTCTAGTTATATTAAATATCACATTAATATACTCTATTACTATTACACAATAAACACACCTAACACTGCAAATCAAGCAAAATATCATAATTACTTAAAGTTGATATCCTTATCTATTGTATTTAACGAAACGTATTACGAATTTCTCCAAAAATCAATTATAACTTAATAATAATTGGATAACTCGTGGCTTGCTAAAATGCATGAAAAATAGGGGCAATCAAGAATTAAATCAAGAAAAAATCCTAATGACACAATTCTTCGAACAACCTACACTAGATATAGGAATTTTTGTAATAGCATACTTAAGAAGGTAAAACAAGAATATGAAAAGGCGGAAGTTTGTAAATCTAAATCTAATAGCAAAAAAACTGTGAGAAATAATAAATAACACACGACTAAAATCAAAGCTCCAGCTACAGAAGTTTCTAATGATCCTAGGAAGTCGGTTAATGACATAAATGAATATTTTGTGAACATAAGAAAGATTATCTTTGGGTATACCAGACATATCATCTAGTCACTCATTTGCATTACTTCCAGTAGACGACTCTGAAGTTGAAACAATTATATCAAGGCTTAAAAATGACTGTACTGGACAGGATAATATTTCAAGCTCTCTTATAAAATGATACGAAAACATTCTCACCTATACTCACATACACTACATACATTTGTAATCTATCTCTAAATACTAGAGTTTATTATTAGAGAGTTAGTTATTTAGTTAGTTATATAGAGTTAGTTTATTATTTAGAGAGTATTTCCTCACGAATTCAAACGTTCAATGATTTACCGTATTCATAAGAGCGGCAACAGAGACTGCGTCGATAGTTATCGGCCCATTTCTGTACTGCCAGCATTTTCGAAAATCTTGGAAAAAGTAGTAAATAATAGACACATCAGGTATCTTGAATCAAAAAATCTCTTATCCCATGCGCAATTTTGTTTTAGAAATGGCAAAGCTACAAGTGATGCAGTACATGAATTCTTAAGTTATACCGTTAAACATATGGACGAGAAGAAAAAAGTAATAGCAGTATTTCTTGATTTGGCTAGGGCATTTAACACGGTCTCTATTTCACTATAATTCACAAATTATACAAGCTAGGTGTAAGAGGATTAAAATTGAAATTTTTTGAAAGTTATCTCACTAACCGATCGCAATGTGACAGAATAGAAAATTGGATATGTGATGATCTTCCCGTCTTTCATGACGTACCACAAGGCAGTATTTTGGGTTCTACCCTGTTTTTGACCTATATAAACAGTATGTGCCAGACAAAATTGATAAATGGGACGCTTGTTTCTTATGCCGATGATACTGCCCTTTTATTCAGCGGTGATGCATGAGAAGAAGTATACGTGAATGCCCAAAAAGAATTCAATTTAATTATGAACTGGCTAACACATAATAAATTAATTCTGAATGTCTCTAAAACAAAATATATGTCATTTACATATAAAAAAATTAACAATCATATTTCACCTAATTTCCATATAAAAGCACATATCTGTCAAAATTACAATGATGTTATTAACTGTTCTTGCCCTTCGCTCCAAAAGTAAATGAAATAAAGTACTTAGGTATAATAATTGATAGCAATCTGAATTGTTATATTGAAACAGCCTGTACAATTCATATTTGAACCAAACAAACCTGATGAGTTTTGGCGGGCACTGGACCGCTAGTCAATTGTTGTTACTGTTTTATCGCTTGAATATAATGCTTTTAAGTGGATTTTAATACGTAAAAGTGGTGCTCATTTTATACATAAAATATTTGAACATGTGAATTATTAGTGTAAAAGAAAAAGTGATCTTAGGGGTGACAATGCATCTGCATTTTCGTTCTTAATCGAGGATAAATGTAGATATCTATGGGACACAGCATTCACTTATCATCAGGTGGTGTGTACTCGTTTGTCACCCTATAATTAAAAAAAACTTGACACTGGCAAAAGTACAACAGTACAAGTCCATGACCAAAGATATAAAATACCTTGTAAGCTTGCAGTGCGCTGAGCTGGTGCGGTGCCGGTGGCGGCACGGGCTGCAGGGCCTTGAGCGCCACGGGCAGCGGCGCGCGGCCGGGTCGGCGCCAGCTGGCCGCCAGCACCGTGCCGAACGCGCCACGCCCCGCCACTGCACCGCGCCCCACGTGCTCCCAGCGGGCACGCTTCTCCTCCTCCACGTCCAGCAGCAGCTGGAGGGAGCAACTGCGTTTAGCGAAACGATACTCGCGTCACTATCGTGACTATCAAAGTATATTGAGGTGACTCTCAAAGTATATTGGGATGAATATTAAAGTATACCGAGATGACTATCAAAGTATATTGAGATGACTATCAGAGTATATTGAGATGACTATCAAAGTATTTTGAGATGACTTTCAAAGTATATTGAGATGACTATCAAAGTATACTAAGGTAACTATCAAAGTATATTGAGATGAATATTAAAGTATATTGAGATGACTATCAAAGTATATTGAGATGACTATCAAAATATATTCAGGTAACTATCAAAGTATATTGAGGTAACTATCAAAGTATACTGAGATGACTATCAAAGTATATTGAGATCACTATCAAAGTATATTGAGATCACTATCAAAGTATATTGAGATCACTATCAAAGTATATTGAGGTAACTATCAAAGTATATTGAGGTGACTATCAAAGAATATTGAGATGACTATCAAAGTATATTGAGGTGTGTTTTGGTATTAAGGTTCACTATTTTTACAGGGACTGATCACAGAAACAAGTTGTCAATGATACGGTGATTTATTTGCTACTGATTATTTCAATTACGTTTTACCTTATTAAAGACCTCACTCACACTTGCATACTGTTCATCTTACATACTACACACACGCATTACAATATTGCTCGAACATACCGCCCACCAAACGACTCATAAAGTCCTTTATTATTTAACATGTTACATTTCATACATACTCTAAAATATAACAATTTTACACGACATTTGTTATACAATATACATGAGTACATACATTTTTGATAAAGGTAACAACATAAATTCATTAAGCTTTGTAAGTAATGGACACATGCCAATCAAAATGGTTAAAAATAACAATTTGATACAATTTTCATGTAAATATGAATACATACTAGAACATTTAATACATGCATAAAATAAAATTTAGCCATAAATGATTTAGTATAAAACATCAGTCTATATCTATAGGTAAAGGACACAATTTGTTCATTGGTCTATGCACTACACTTTTACCACTTTTAACACTACACATACTAGTCACTCCATCATCACCTGGGTGCTTATCCACCACACGACCCAGCAGCCATTTACCAGGAGGGAGATTGTCACATTTTATAAGAACAATGCGTCGTATTTCAAACTCCTTCACCTTGCCTTGCCACTTAGGTCTCTGCTGTAACCTGGTCAAGTACTCTTGTTGCCATCTTCGCCAAAAATCTGATAGATGCTATTGTTAATGTTGCCATCGTGACAAGTGACTGACACGAATGTTCTTTAGATCAGAGTGGGGTACATTGATTGGAGCTTCGCCTATTAAGAAGTGCCCTGGGGTAAATGGCAGTGTGTTGTCCGTATCTGAGTCATCAATAGAGCTAAGAGGGCGCGAGTTAAGGCAAGTTTCTATTTGACACAGTAAGGTCGTCATCTCTTCATAGGTTAGGTTACAAGTCAATATTCTTTTCATGTGGTATGTCATTGATTTGACACCTGCTTCCCATAATCCACCCATGTGAGGCTTATAGGCAGGTATGAAATGCCATTGTGTGCCATCTAATGCTAACATTTCAGAAATATGACCCTCAAACTTCATCTTTGCGTCTGCCCAAGGTGCTACAAGTTCTTTGTTGGCACCTACGAAATTTCTTCACTGGTCGCTCCAGAGATGTGCACATCTTCCCCTTCTTGCTACAAACCTTCTGAAAGCTCCAATAAAGGCCTCAGAGGTAAGGTCTCAAACCAATTCTAGGTGTATGGCCTTTGTTTACATGCAAACAAAAATTGCTATGTAAGCCTTAGTTGTATTAAATCATCTACCTTTAGATCTCAGGATTTGGTAAGGGCCAGCAAAGTCTACTCCACTGTGTAGAAAGGGTCGAGCAGGTGTAATTCTTACACGAAGTAAGTCTCCCATTAATTGTGATTTAGCTACAGCGTTTTGCTTGGCACATATGAGGCAATTGCGAATTTTAATTTTTACCAACTTCTTTGATTTCAGTATCCAGTATTTTAATCTTAAATATCCAAGCATCAATTGTGTTCCACCATGTAGTGTCTTTAGGTGAGCATCAGATACTATAAGTGCACTCAAGTGATTTTTGCTGTCTAATATAATAGGATTTTTGCAATTTTCATCAAGGTCAGAGTGACGTAATCGGCCGCCCACCCTCAGGATACCTTCATCATCCAGGTAAGGTAAAAGAGACTATTTTACTATAATTTTTTACCCTTTTTTTGATTTTAGGGTTTGTATGGCTTCTTCAAATGTGTCCCTTTGTACAATTTTTATACATGTTTTTAAAGCTTCTTCTAATTCTTTTGTAGTTATTGTAGTTCCCTTATTTTCCCAATTCCCTTCCTTTTAAGAATCTTTTGCAATATGTTATACCTTTTAATGGTTCTGTTAAATTATCAAATCTGTTAAACTTAGTAGCTATACTAGAACTTTCGTTTGTTTGTTTTAGATTCACTTGTACGGACATGATCTTTCTTTCTAGGTTTGTTGTTATGTTTGCTGGTCTGCTGTATTTAATATTTTTTTTTTCATTTATTTATAGAACCACAAACAGATTCACAATTAAATATATATAAAATATCAAAACAAAGAAACGTAATTATCATTATGAATCCAACAGCGCTGGTCTCATTATACATATAATATAGTGTTAAAGTGGAGCTCATCTTACATTATAACAAGTGTTAGTTAACTAGTTAAGAAATCATAAAGTAACTAATAAACATTATTAATAGGTACATGTGTGTATATGTGTTATGTATGTGTGTGTGTGTGTGTGTGTGTGTGTGTGTGTGTGTGTGTGTGTGTGCATGCGTGTGCGTGCGTGTGTGTGCGTGCGTGCGTGTGTGTGTGTGTGCGTGCGTGTGTGTGTGTGCGTGTGCGCGTGTGCGTGTGCGCGCGCGCGCCTGTGTGTGTATATGTGTGTGGTTTATGTGTGTGTGTAAGAGTGGAGTTAGGTGTGTAGGGACGTGTTTGGCTGGTACATGAATCTACAACCAGGTATGCAATATACAGGAAGAAAATAAAATCATTTTTTATGTGTTACTAAGCCAAGCCTATCAATGACTGATTTCTTGAAAGATGTATGTCGTAATGCAATAATATCGATATCATTGAAAATATTATTGTATGTTTTGGCCATACGGTGAAGTGGAGAACGAATGCCCGCATTTGTTCGGCAGGATAAGGTTGCAAACAATCTATGCGGACGTGTAGACCTCATTAATGATCGAGGAGGTACGCTATAACAAAGTTTGTTTGATATTTCTATAGAGTCATATCTATTATGAGTAAGATCATGTAATAACATTACTTCAAGTTGTGTGCGTCTAGATTTAAGATCAATTAAATTGTATGTCTTTAGTAACAAATTATACGACAATCGTTTGCGGTGGAATTTAAAATGTATGTATCGAAGATATTTCTTTTGTATCTTTTCAAGCATATAATTGTATTTTTCATAAAGTGGATTCCATATTGATACAGCGTATTCTAGCTGACAACGTATCAATGATTTAAATAAATATAAGAATGTAGAAGTTTGTTTAAACATAACACCTGATCTAATGACGAACCCATACATTCTAAATGCTTTATTAATAATGTTTTCTATATGTACATCGAAATGTAGTTTACTATCAAGTGTGATTCCAAGATCTTTAATAGTGTTTTCCTTGCTTAAGGTTATTCCGCAGAGTGAATAAAAGTAATTACTAACATTTCTCTTTCTTGTGAAAGTTATGGATTTGCATTTATCAATGCTAAGTTCAAGTTTATTTTCACTGCAGTATAAAGAGAGTTGATTCAGGTCATTTTGGAGTTTAACATGATCGTCTAAAGTGTTAATAATCTTGTAAATCTTTAAATCGTCTGCATATAGAAGAAACTTACAGTGATCAAAACATTTATTAATATCGTTAATAAATAATACGAATAGTAGAGGGCCAAGAATGGAACCCTGTGGTACACCTGAGCTTACATTTACACTTGGAGATTCGAATCCCTTAATAACGACCTTTTGAGTTCTATTCGATATGTAAGATTTAAACCATCTCCTAAGATTTCCTCGTATACCATTAAAGGCTATCTTTTCAAGGAGGATTTTATGATCCACCCTGTCAATCTGTTTATTTGCATCTAGTCCTTCAAAGAGATCCGTTGTATAAATAAGTAGGTTAGTAATCGTGGAACGACGGTCAACGAATCCATGTTGTTGCTGTAAAATGGAACTATGGAGACATGGGTAAATAGCTTTATGTACTAATCTTTCGCAAAGCTTCGACAGGGTAGGCAAAATAGAAATAGGCCTATAATTTTCTACGTCTTTCTTGGATCCTCCTTTATATACAGGGACGATTCTGGCTGATTTCCAAATCTTAGGAAAGACACCATCACGTAAACATTTATTAAATAAATAGCATATAGGTTCATCAATAGTATCAGCAGTCTGTCTCAAGAAATAGGCATTAATGTTATCAACTCCAGCGCCTTTATTAACATCAAGCACTTTAATTGAGGCATGAACTTCTTCCTTTGAAATTTGTACACTACAGATTAAGGTATCAGGCGTTTGACGGTCATCTATATTAATATCTTTAATTTCAAAGTTGTCTGGTACAAATGAAGTTTCGAATACTGATTGGAAAAACGTCGAGAAAAGACTACATACTTCAGAAGGTGAATTGGCAGTTACGTTTTTGTAGTGCATTGTGTTGGGTATATCTGAATTCTTTTTACGATTATTAATGTATGTCCAGAAAAATTTAATATTATTTTTTATACTGTGTTCTACATGTTTGAGGTAAGCTTTATAACGCCGATCCGACATTTCTTTAAATTGTTTTCTGTGTATAGCAAAAATACAATAATTTGATTCCGTATTATATCTTTTCATTTGTATCCAAGCTCGCTCCTTTTTCTTATATAAATTAATAAGTGCGGGAGTAAAC